AACCAAGTATTTGCTGTTGGAGCATCTGAGGCATAAACATCAATCTTAATAGCACGGGTAAAGCGCTGGGGAGTCGTCTGAGGATGCAAAGCCTTCTTTCCCATGCATAGAAGCACCAAATGTTGTGATTTATAATGCACCATCTTCAAAATCCATCACAAGTTTTCTTAACAGGGTAAATTAGTGTGTGGCTTTTTGCCTTCACAATTGCCCCCTGCGATTTTCTCTCATTCACACGGCAAAACTCATCTTGGAACGTATTGAAATGCAAATTATGACATTAGTTGCCAAATAACATGCTTTTCACCACCCCCCCTTTAGATATCTTTTACTGTTCATCCAATGGATTTCTCCAGACTTTTTTTTTTTTTTTTGGTAGAAGCCTTTTCACGACTTAAACAATTTGCCTCACACAAACTCGCGATCTGATTGCCGTGTTTCGAAGCCACCTATGAGAGTAAAAGCCCGAAGCTGGAGCTGTGTATGTTTAGAGTCGTACCAGCGTTTTATAATTATGCAGCAGAAACTGTCAATGTAAAGTCTTTGTTCTCGCTGCGGCTGATCAGGGGTTACGTTATGTCCTCAAATTCACTTTTTCAGCACAAACAATGACAGCCGCAGCAGGATCCATCACAATTCTAAAGGATCTGGTGACATCTATTTCTCCAGAAAAAAATCCCATCCCATTAATAATAAGGTGTTTGTAGTGTTCTAATGAAATGTGCCCAATGAGGTAGTAGCAGTGTGGCATTTTTACTTAATGTGGAATGATGATGATGATGAGGATGATGATGAAGCTATTGTTTTTGAACTGGAACATTTCAAGATATATTAAAAGTGTGGATATATTGTGATCTCCCTTTCTCGTTCATCATAACTCAACATCTCATTGGATCATAATTTAAGTTGTCAGAAAGGGCTTTAGATAATTATAGAAAGGATTAAGGCAATGTTTCCCAACCGGGGTACACGGACCCCTCGGGGTACAATCAGGTATTACATGGGGCCCTTGAAATTGTCTTCAAAACTTGTTAGCATTGATAGAAAGAGGTTTTATTTGTGAAACTGTGACATGGTGCATGTGTACATTATTTATTTGGGTACATATTTTTGTATTCTATTCCAAACATTGAAGCAAGAGCACAATGCATGATAATAATACTACAACTACAACTACTACTAATAATATTAATAATAATTTTTCTATCAGTCAAGCTTTCTTTCTTTTGGTCCAGTTTTGGTTCAGTCCACTCAACATCCTATTTTTTTCAGAAAAATCTAAAACTCAAGTTAATTAAACATAAATACAACACAGTGGCAAACACACTTGGTTGAGAACACTGTAACCCCTAAAACAGTTATGGCCTTGGAACAGAATTAGTTTGACCCCGCTGTTGTGTTGACTCCTCTGGTACGTGAACTTTTTTACCCCCTGTTGTTATGGGAGTACGCAGGTAAAACATGTTGGGGACCACTGGAGTAAAGGACAATCTTAGCAGAAGAAGTATGGTGAATGGGAGACAGACTTTAAAGGGGTCTGTCTGCATTCACTGGGCCGGTTTATCCCATAGTGATAACAGTTGTATCCTCTCTCTTGACCCTGTCTGCATAAACGGTACAATGTAATACAATAATACAATTCAAGTCCTTTTACTTCTGTTCTGTAATCCAGAATATGAAATGAATACATGACAGTCTCATCACATGTGGTAAATATCAAGCCTTTATTTGTTATAATGTTGATAATTTACTGATAAATAAATAAATATTTGTTATAATGTTGATAATTTACTCACAGCTCAAAAACACCCAAATCTCAAAAAAAAAAAAATCGCTTCACAAACATGTCCTGAAATCACATGGGTTACGATAAATGACAAGCTCTCGATTGTTCAAATGTCACTGCTGTCTATAACAATAAAAACCAACTTATTTTATTCATGTATGTATTTGATATGGACACAACAGTTGCATTAGATGAAGCAGATGCACCGCCAAGACCATATTAATTTTCAACAATTTTATAAAATTTACATAATATATAGCTAATTAATATCAGGATTAAGAGACCGTGTATCCATCCCACAGTAGGGACATTTCAGGTATTCAATTACCGTAGTGATATAGTGATGTATAACGATCTCAGCTGGATTACTCTGTGTAAAGGTGGTGTAATATGTGTTTTATTTTGGTGTTGTTTATTTGGTCTGTTTCCTTTCCTTGTCGTCATGGTGATGTTCCACACCATTAGCAGCACACAGGATGATAATGTTAGCTGTGATCAGTGCCCCAGTTTCAGGCCTCGGGCAAAATTGTAGTAAGTAAAAGGCTTCGCAGTTGACCAAGGATTCTCATCATCCCGCACCCTTCCTAACCGCTCTGCACCCTAAGGCGATCGGACTCTCACACTAGCAATGATATTACGTCCATTAAGATTACTTTTTGGCTCTTTGTTCATGTGCGGACCTCTTGGCTATTTTCAGATAAATCCTCGGAGTCAACTTCATTTTCTCCTCTCTTCCGATGTAGCGTCTGTTCTTTGTTTTGGAAGTTGCTTGAGCTGCATCATAATTCCACATCTTTTTATAGTTTCTTTGATCACATCTTTGTCAGATCCACGCGTTCTCCCCTCATCCTGGCCTTCCACTCATTTTCACATCTTTTCTGCCACCGCAACAAAACTGATGCCTGTCTGGAAATAAAATCAATTTGTCCACATTTTCTCTGTTTGTGGACCGCTGTAGGGCTGCTATTGAAAAGTCTAAACAATGACAATGATTGAGAATAATAACACATATTTTATTAACAAAGTGTTGGTTAAAAGGCCTGTCCCTGCTCTCCATGATATCACCTTTTTATTGTCAATAAAAAGTGTGGTAGGTGGGGAAGGAAATCAGAAGCGCGCAACACGGCCAGTGCTATTAGCTGTCTGCTTTTGTCGAACTTGCCTTTGCCTCACAGTTAGGGTTTATTTGATCATCCAGGGTGGTCGCTAACAAAAGTCTAACTCCAACTGTTTCCATGTGCCTCGAAAGCACGCCGGCTAAAACCAGTAAATAGTGATTTTGAATTGTGTTTTTAAAAATTTACATTTCGGTGTTTTTGTGTTTGCTTGTCCTAACTTTACCACTTTCATACTAATTCACATACACTTTACGAGGCTGAGGGAGGCGTTCGGAGCCGTCCCTCGCCACCGGGGAACTGGGTAAATATCAAAGAAGGTCATAAGGAGGAGGGGCTGGGAGCAGAGGGGAAGTGCAGCTAAATCAATTAGGAGGAAAGAAAAAGTGAAACATTTTGATATATTTCATGTTTGACGGCCGTAGACATATGAGTGTAAAAAAGCAGGTGTTGTGCTGGCATTTCTGATGACTTTTTCCTCTTTTCTACAAATGAAAAATGGGCAAATACCACGCTCGTTTTGCCAATTAGGACGCATTGTTATAAGTGTATATGGATTACGTTTTAGAATGAATTGCATCAGTCTAAGTTTGTGTGTCAGAATACGTCAGCATAAAAAAACAATGTTGTATAATAAGTACAGGTCAACCCCATCTTGTCTGGTTAACTTAAAGCTGAGATACCTAAAAATTTTTGTTGAGTGATGGTGGTCCTCAAACTCTAAAAAATGGTGCGTACTGGGGTAGTCTTGCACAGTTTTTCCAATGTGGTTTTACTGCAAATGGCAAATAGGTTCTTGTATCTTGTATCATGGACTTTTTTTTATTCATCCATTCTGTTATATCATTTGAAAGTAAAGTACCACTGTTTAATCATCATAGTATAGAGCATAAATGAGGACTGGTAATCTATTATTCACTGGTTATGAATAATAATGAAATAGCGTTGTTTCCTTTGTTAATTTTAGAATCTGCCTTTGTAACAACACCCAGCATTCTGGCCAATGGTGTCTCATAAAAAAGTCAAAACCTGACTTATCACAACAGCTGTATAAAATGACAGTGATGTCTCTTAAAAGCCCTCAGCGCAGATGCGGTCAATCCACCAGTGCACTTTCAAGCACCAGACCTGAAATACAACCTCAGCAGTCTGTGTGTGTGTGTGTGTGTGTGGAGGCCTGAAGGGGGGAAGACCCTGCTCTCTGTCAGGAAATCACAGCTAAGTTCCAGATTGTGATTTATTTCATAAGGCAAATGAAATGTGTGAGCCCCGCGGCACTGCACACTGACTCACCACTTTTCACTGTCTCGCTGATGCACACACAAACACACACACACACACATACACACAGCAGATATGTATTTTTCACATGTCGAGTATTGCTCCGACAAAACATATGTAGCGTGTCTTATTCAATCAACCATTCAAACACGGGAGAGTGATGGCAGTGCGAACAGCTGTTGCCATGCCAGCCTGCACAAAATGGCCTCAAATCGGTGCCTGTTTTCTCCGCTTGGCTGTAAATAGGTCTTCTTCTTTCTGTAGAACGGGGGACTACAGTCGTTAGTTCATTTCTAACTCAGAGGAGAGCAAATGTTTAGATTTTTGTCTTTTCTATGCTTTGGTGGATTTTAGTTTGTACATGCTTCCTCCCAAAGCAGAGTGTAACAATTAGCAAAATAAAAAAAACACGCATTTATTGATATATACACGCATGCAAATCACTTTAACATGTGTTTTGTGACCACGCTCATAATTTCTCAGAAGCAAATTGAGTCGCTTCTGATTCTCACACTAATCTTGCAACTAATGGATTTCAACTTCAGCCAAAAATCAGACTTCTACACCGGTCTTTGATGCAATGTTTAGTATTCTGTGCAAATATTAGCGCATACTTTGGTGTAAAATGAATAAATTACTCTGCACTGATCGAATTTGGAAATGAGAAAGTTGTGAACAAGATCTGAGTCGTCTGTTTTTCAAACTTTTGTAACTTTTGGCCTCTTTTTTCTGTGCAGGATCTCCGCTGGGAGGGTGTGAGCTGGAGCTGAGTCCCCACTAACCTGTGCCCAGAGCCTCCGTCACCACCAGCCTCCAACATGGCTCTCACACTCTGGTTAATCTTCACCTGTGCTCTGGCTTTCAGCAACGTCAGTCCCACATCTCAAGGTTTGTCGATACCTTCAACAGTTCGGTTATCGTAGAGCGCATATCAGGAGTAGACCCTTTTTTGTTTTTACTTCTGTCTACTTTTGAGCTGTATAGATAGCCCTTATAATATAGCCCTAAGATAAGCGATTTTGTTAGCTTAGCATTTTCTTTTCTTTGTCACAAAAGGGAGAGTGGGTGGCAAATGTGAAATTTTCTGTTCAGCCCTTTTAGGTTTTAGAAAATCCTATAACGCAGATGCACTCGCGAGAAACAGGAAGAGGGTGAAGGGGGCAAAAGCCTCCCATTGGTTTATTTTTATCGGTCTGCTCAAAAATATGTTTTATTATTTTTTGGAGACTATAGGCATCTGGTCAATTCCATTATTATTTGAAAACACATGATAACTTGACTACTTTTAGGGTTTAGGAACGTTTTCCCACAATATTTAAAAAAAAAAGTGTGTCTGCATCATTGACTGCATCTTTAAAACGTTGTCTTTTTTTCATTGTATCAACTGTATGCTTTGCTTTGAGCTCAAATACACAATCTGAACTTAACTGGGGACAGGCCAATGCTATAAACTGTGTATGAGTGCTGACATCACCCACAGGATTTGCCGAATGCACGAGAAGGCGATTTGAATATAAGATACTGGAGCCAATTTTCCTACCGGAGCGAGATGGAGCAAGATTCCGTCCATGAGCACTTCCCTATTGGGCTTCATTGATTTAGCGCAGAGGTCGAGAACCTTTTGAGCTGAGAGAGCCAAAAAGTCTCATACTTTTCTTTGTATTTCTGTGGGAGCACCTTTTTATGTGTGTGTGTGTTATTTTTTCCAAACAAGATCAACACATCGATTGAATGTAATATCAGTCTCAGAACGCGTCCTTTTGTTACTAACACGTTCATACATAAGAATTCCAAAATAAAATATTCTTACTGAGAGTTGTCTGAGAGCCAGGCACAATCGACCACTGAACCACAGCTCCAAACCACATCAGACTTGTAAAGAAAAAACCGGGAACCATCTTGGATACTTTCCCTGCCTTATACTGTAATCGAACGCATCCCAGCCATTCCTTGAGAGATTTTACATTAAAACAACAAATGGGAGATTAAATGGGAATAGGAAATTTTTACATAAACTGCGCATTCAAATTACACTAGTCTTGTGAATTATTTTCCTTTGTTTTGTATTTTATTTGCGTTTCCGGCGTCGAAGTTATGGCATGTTCATAGTGCTAACTCTAGTCATGAGAAAACTTAGAATTGTGGTGAATTTTAGGGAGAGCTGGGTCTACTCTGCTCTCCCTCTATAGAGTTGCTAGCCATATAGGATCCTTACCTCTGATCTAGCGGTTAGCATTGCCCATCTGCATACAGTCTATGGTCGATCCGCGGTCTATTGTCTTAGACCAGGGGTGCTCAATACGTCGATCGCGATCTACCAGTCGATCGCAAAGGTAGTATTGGTAGATCGCATTAAATAAATAAATAAATACACATTCTAAACGAATATATACAAAAAACTCTGGGCAAAGTGGAGATTTTTGAAAACTCCGTTAATGCATTTGTGTGTAGACAGAGATAACCGGAGTTTTGCGCCACAGTACCCCCCTAAATTCCTCTGATCACTGAAGCATGGATCATACTACCTTAAAAACTGTTCGCTGTGAGATGCTCGCAGCAGCGAACATCCTCCACATCAGAGAGCAGCAAAGTGATCGCGGGGACTCACGCTCGAAAACAACCAAACCAGGACTAAACCAGGACTAAACCAGGACTAAACCAGGGCTAAATCAGGGCTGAGGACGGGGTCAGTGCTTGTAAACATACATCTTTACTCTGAGTGTCTTCTATGACTGTAAAAGTGCCGTTACCGGTGTCTGCATCAAAGCTCCGCCCACTTCTGTGTTTTTCCCCAACGCAGGACAGGACCTAAGAGACGCACATGTTTGGAATGTTACAGAGACCTCTCTATATTTGGAAGGTTACTGCTCTCTAAAATGGAAGGTCTATCTAGACTAATTTATCCTGCATACACTTTGAATGTGAATTCAAAAATGATGAAGCAAATTAACCAAATTAATTTCAATTTTCTCTGGAAAAATAAATATCATTATATCAGGAAAAACGATATTGTAAAATCTGTAGAGGAGGGTGGTTTGAATGCTATTGATTTTGATCCCATGAATGGTGCCTTAAAACTTCGATGGTTACAAAATTTTATTACAAATCTAAATAGTTTCTGGTTCAGTCTCCCCTCAAAAATATTCTCGAATTTCGGTGGAATTGAATTTCTGATACAATGTGACTTTGAAATATCAAAATTACCTACTAAATTATCCAAATTTCATGAGCAAGTCCTCCAGTATTGGAAATTGATATTTTGTCACAATTTTTCGCCACATAATACACCTATATGGAATAATAGATATATTCTGATTAGAAGGAAATCCTTTTATTATCAGCATTGGCATGAAAATGGAATATGGTCAGTCTTACACTTGATGGATGATACAGGTAATTTTCTTCAGTTTATTGATTTCACCCAGAAATACAATGTGATTACCACTAGGCAACAATTTTTACAAGTAGTCAAGGCTATTCCACAAGCTCTTGTTTGTGCAATTAGGGGATCTTTAATGTATACACAATTGGTTCCAAAAATGTATCCTTTACTCGTGCTAAATTGTAATTTCACGGACAAAAAATGTAACAACAAATTTCTAAGAGCAGCATTGTCCAATAAATACTTCCCTTTGCCGTTAAGAAGACAATATATTATGAAGGATCTCCCTAAACACAATGTCAAGATTTTCAGATGCAGTTACATTAAATTCCCTGTTCTACCTAAAGCTAAAGAAGTTAGATTTAAATTACTGAACAATGTATACCCGTGCAAAGAATTTTTACACTCCAAATTCAATACTGACGATAATTTGTGTGTTTTTTGCGATACCAATATTGAAACAGAAGAACATCTTTTTTTCACATGTGTGCATTCAAAAATATTTTGGGATAGTTTCTGTGCTTGGTCTGTTGGCAATACTTTAGGTATTATGGACTTTAATTATCATGACATAAAATTTGGAGTTCTACTGGAAGACAAAAACAAAGAATTTACATTTAACAATTTTATTCTCATGGCTGTATTTTTTATTCACAAATGTAAATTTAGTAATTCCAAACCCTTGTTTAGGATATTTCTGAGCGAACTGTCAATCGTTAGGGACTCTTTGAAGCTTTGTAATTCAACGAAAGCAATTCGGTTGTACAAAAATATTGTGAATTTACCTCTGACCCTTGTGACTCAGTAATGTGGCTTTCTACGTTCTTAATTTGTTCTTTTGTTTTTGTTTTTTGTTTTTATACGGCACGAAACTGAGATTGTACTAAATATTTAAGCCTGTTTGATTTGTTCAATAAAGAAAAAAAAAAAGAAAAAAATAATAAATGTTTGGAATGTTACGAATGTGACTGATAACGCAGATGTGTGGATGCAAATTATTTTATAAACGGAGGAGGGGAAATATTTGGATTTAAAAAAAAACAGGCATGGCACATGGACATGGCACCACAGTCAAATGACATCTGTGTTTTACTCAGTAATGTTTTACTGACACTTAGGTGACTGCACATGCGCAAACAACCGCGCTCAGTGCAGGAAAGCTAAACCACGACAAACTTGTCAGCGAGTTACCACCAATTTTCCGGACTATGCATCCCTGGCCGATTCAATTCAGTGCAAGTCATAAGAGTAAACTCGGGTAATGACAAAAAATGTACATAGGTAATTGTGTTGTGTTGTGCTATATTGACTCATGCGGTTTTGCATGTACATAAACATACATTGTAGGTATAAAGAATATTTTTTGAAATAAATATATGATTTGCATTTTTGTAGTAGGTAGATCATTTTGACTTGATCCTTTTATAAGTAGCTCGCATGCTGAAAAAGTGTGAGCACCCCTGTCTTAGACTGACACACAATCAGCATCAAAGCTTTTAATCTTGTTATTACAGCGTTCCTTTATCAGTCACCGAAGATTCATGTTGAGTCTGGAATCTGTGAGTAATCCTGTATTGTTCTTTATGCAAAGCTTGGGACATTTTGTTTTTTCCTATTCTGGCTCATTTTTAGTTTCTTAAGTTCTGACTATTCACAAAATTCTGACTCTAGGCAATTCCTGTAGTGTATAAAAAAAAAACATCATTCATCATTAAAACCATTGTTGGAGAAAAGCAGCTATGATGTTTTTTTTCACTCTCTGGTATTCATTTTATCTATTAATTCATTCAATATATTTTTACTAACTGTGCATATAACACACACATACACATCCAATATAGATGTTTGCATTTACATCAGCAATATTTTACCACATGTCAATATATTTTCACAATGTATTTACAACTTTATTTTTATTTTTATTAACCTTTATTTAACCAGGAAAGTCCCATTGAGATTAAAAACCTCTTTTTCAAGGGAGTCCTGGCCAAGAGGCAGCAAAATATACAGTTTAAGAATTACATACACATTACATACTCATTATAAAAAACATTTACAAGAGGTTGACTCAAGTGCTCTCACTTTGGACTTAAATTCGTTCAATGGAATAAGATCAGTTATTTTCCAGTCTTTTTGCAACGTGTTCCATGTAGAAGGAGCAGAGTGAACAAATGCCCTTTTTCCCAGTTCTGAACGGGCAAATGGAACAGTGAGCAACAAATGATCATTTGAACGCAAACTATAAGAGCCAACGCTCCTCCGTGAGATTAGGTTACAGATGTAAGAGGGCAGTAGACCAAGCATGGCTTTATAAATAAAAGTATACCAATGACTCTGCCTCCTGGAGGACAAAGAAGGCCATCCCACTCGAGAATACAGCTCACAATGATGGGTCAAGGCCCTACAGTTAGTAATGAACCTCAGAGAAGCATGATATACAGTGTCAATCTTGTGTAGACATTGAGCAGACGCGTTCATGTACAGCAGGTCTCCATAGTCTAAAATA